GGGGGACCTGCCGCCGGGCCCGCACCTGCCTCCTGGAGGGCCTGCCACCTCGACCCCGGGACCTGCCATCTTGCCCCCGCGTGACCTGCTGCTTCTCCCCGACAGTCCGCCACCTCCCCTCCCGAGGGCTGGCCACCTCTCTGCCAGCCCAGGCCTGCCTTTGCTCGGTCTCTGGCATTGCCCGGAGTGGATAGGGTCTGCTGCTTCCCCTCCACTTGGGCCAGGCGCAGAGTGCGCCTGCTGGTTTTAAGAGTGAAAACGGGTCGTGTCCACACCCAGGGTCCTCTCCCAGCTAATCCAAGAGGAGGATGAATTAGGTGCCCCAGAAGACACATGACAGGAGACCCAAGATACTAGGACTGGACCTAGGGCAGCACCCAGAGTCCTGGTGGCCTGAAATCAAATGTTATCATCTCGCCAAAAGAGCAGATGTCTCTTGAAACAAAAAGCAAGAACGACTAGACCAGCACATCCATCTACAGACTGTTTAAACTAACAAGTCCACGGTCAGTGCGCAGTATAGAAAACGCCTCAGAATCCTTAGAACAGATAGGCTGGTGGTAAGGGAAGAATCCCGGGCTCCTTGGTCTGTTCTGCACTTGAAGAGGGGGATTTATTATAGAAGTGCTTACAGATGAAGTAACAATCAAATGAGAGATCTGGAGAAAAGTGACTGTGGTGAAATTTGTGCTTTCTAGAAGAAAAACTCCTAGGAGGGGCAGCATGTACTCCTGCTCTGGACGGCGCTGCCTCAGTCCTGGGACTTGACAGCCAACTTAGTAGGTACCCGGTACACGTTTGTTCAACGAAGAGAATGGGCTAGATGATAAGATTAATACAATTGTAGCTGAAAGGAATGCTTTTCTAAATGCCCGGGGATGAAATAGAAGGCCAAATCAAGGCAGTTGGGTGTTTCTAAGCTCAGAATCGAGTAGTGAACAGGATATCCAGCCTGCAGGTAAATCAGAATTGCCTCTCCTTGAGCAGTGCAATAGAGAATCCGGGCTGTTCCTAATCACTTCCTAACCTCAGGCAGGTCGGTAACTAGCTGAGACCCTAATTCTCAAACCTATAAAATGGGACTGGATTTTTTTCCTCTGGAGTGGTTTCCAGCTCTGACCTTTTATGATGTCATGACTGGGAAGAACTCAAATACAAGCAACACACAAAAAAGGCTTTTTGGTCAGAATGGTAAAAAAAGCTGATGACACCAAGATGAAATCCTTTTTGTCAGATCCTGACAAAATCATCTCCAGGAAGTTATAATGGGGGAGGGTCTGTGCCTATCCGAGATAAATACTTTCTCAAGGACCTTCTAAAGGTGAGAGATGTATTCTTAATCAAAAAAAAGACTTTTTGGTCATAATGGTAAAAAAGCTGATGACACCAAATGAAATCCTTTTTGTCAGATCCTGACAAAATCATCGCCAGGAAGTTATAATGGGGGAGGGTTTGTGCCTATCCGAGATAAATACTTTCTCAAGGACCTTCTAAAGGTGAGAGATGTATTCTTAATCTACAGGAACCTTGTGCTTTGCACCGCCTCTTCCACTATGCACAGATATCCTTAACAAAGTTTATATTTAATATTGCTTGCGTTGCAACAATCCAAACCAGTTGTAACACTTTCCCAGCTACAATACCTCCACCATATGCTGACTCCAACCCCTTCCTCCCTTCTCTGAGAGCAGTGAACACTGTATCCAAACAGCTTACATAAATCTTCCCCTCTTCGCCTTGAAAACTATATGCCTCAACCTCCTTGAAAATGCCTAGAGTTTACTGCAGCACACTGACTCCCATTGTACTGCTCTGCTATTTCCAAATAAACATCATTGTTCTTTGGAGAATCTCTCTCTGATTGCCATTTAGGTTGACAGTGGCTTAGTGAAGGGACTCTGGGGCAGGCACAAAACACATGAATCCAATGATAAAAGCTGGGAGTTTGATTTGTCTTTTTCCACTGACAGAAGACCAGAACACAGTGTAGCAGAACTCATCCTGGTAACTGTGGTGGAGAATGTCCAGGGATAGTCGCTGAGCACAGGTGCAGATCAAAGGTGGCCACATACTCTTTGTTTTCCTCCCACTGAGAGGTAGACCTCATCCCCCACTCTTGAAATGGGGATGGCCTCACTGACTTGCTTGAAAAATGGAATCTTGAAGAAGCATATTCTAGGATGTTCAAAGCTGGACCATAAGGAACCTGTATTTTTCCAGTGGGATGGCTTGAAGGAACCCCTGTGTCAGCCCCAAGGTGGCGTGTAAGAAGTTCAGCCACCTTGAGATTGCAGTACTGGAAAGGTCACTGCGTATGGCCTTCGGTCACCAGTCCCAGCTGAGTCCTGCCTTCCAGCATCCCCTTCTGGATTTTACTGGTTTTTATTGGATCCTCCAGATCAGCCCATTCACTAGCTGGCTACCTCTCGATGTGACTTCTGCTGCCGTGCATGAAACACCTAGCACAACCCCACTCATACTCCTGACCTCCAAAACAACGAACTAGAGTAAGATGGCTATTGCTTTGGGCCACTATACTTTGCAGTAGTTATATATAGCTGTAGATACTGGACCAGTGAGAAGTATCTGTGTAAGTCTATACTTGTGTGTGCATAGAAATGTATAAGTAGCTACTGCAATTAAGTCCTTGTCTTTTCCAATGGATGTTGTCAAATATATCAGTTGTTACAGGGCCACAGATCATCTGACAGTTTGTACAAGGTGTACTCTAAAGAACATAATTTTACATGAACTGTTACAACCACTTTATATACATTAAAAAGAATAAGTCTAGAATAATAAGCTTGCCTACATTGTGTCCAACCCATGTGCTTAATACAATTAATGCTAGGGGTCTCTAATCCCTAGGTTCTGTCCACTGGAATAGCTCGACTTTTGCATTATTCCTACCTTTCTTTGAGAGTATATAATGTTCCTAAATTGACAATAAAGAAGCTTGTCTTTGCTTCCTGTAAAAGATCCATCACTTTGTCAGGCATGACAGCCCACACCTGTATCCTTAGCCAGTTGGAAGGCTGCAAGGAAAGCCTTGCCAGAGGCCAGGAGTTCAAGTTTAGCCTGGGGACCTTAGGGAACAAACAACAAAAATTTAAAAATCACCTCCCACAGTACCAGGCACATATTAGCAATGTATGCTAATCTTAATCCTTATTCATCCAACACAGCTTATGACATAAACATATATGAAACAAGGAGAAACTACTACTACAATGGATCGGTCATGTAAGGTAGATTTTCTGACTGCTATATCCAGAGACCATAAACAACGTAGATACTGTAGCCAAGCTCCAGTGTAACTCTGTGTTCAACTTTGTTTTGAAAGCCTTCAGGATGCGGCCATGTTAAAGAGGAACTGAGGCTTACAGAACTAAACTTTTTCGGATGAAATCCAAGTCATCTGTATACCTTGTATTTTTTTATATAGTAAATTGGAGAAGGCTTGTTGTTACATAGTTCCCTTTGAGAGTCTTTCCAATAAAAGGGAAAGAGGCAGGTCAAGGGCCATTTTGCCCCACCTTAGGAATTTACTTCTCAGTAGCTCCCAGGAACCTGAAACCCATGGAGAAAAAAAGAGAATGTTTTCAAAAATTGAAAATAATAAAGATAACATCCCAAAGAAGCACTTTAAATAAAAGTGGGCCAAAATGGTCTCTCCCATTGACATCCCATGGCTAACACCCATGGGACCTCTGTGCCTGCAAAATAAGAACACCCCTTCCTCCAGAGCTCAGTGAGCCGGGCTGGACTGGAGTCCTCTCCCTGCACCTTGATGGGACAGACTCCTGCAGCGAGCAGCTGTCCAGCCTCACGCGGGGGGTCTCTGATCAGCCGGGGTCTCTGATCAGACTGGGATGCTGGAAGTTCTCCAGGATCTCCCTTCTGCTGAGATGGGAGTTTTAACTGTTTCTTAATTTATGAAGACAAAAATATTTGGGGTTATTTCTTCTGCTCTTTCCTCCTGGCGGATGTTTGATACTTTGCTTCTTGTATGATTCTGAGACCTTAACCCCCAGCTCCCATTTCTGGCTCTCCTGCACTTCCCACAACCATTACTGTACCATAGTCCCTCCTACAAAAGACTGTTTTCTTCCTCAGTGGATGTTGCAATTTGGTAATCTGTGGGTGTGCATGTTCCTTTTATCTTTACAAGGCTTAATTGCAAAAATATCGCCGCTATCTTTCTCTAAATTCTTTCTTATTATTCCTCCCAAAATGAACAGCAAGTCAAGCAATTTTTGTATACTAGAATCAAAGTTCTCAAGATTGCTCTAAACAAGGTGCAGAAATATATATACCTACATCTATCTGGAACTAAACCAAATTTGCAGTAGCAAAGAGAGTTCTGTATTTTTAATTAGTGATATAAAATGTCAAATATTTTGCTGTCAAATCTTAGTAACAAATCAATTAAATTCTCTTGTTGGCACCCAAACTGCTGCCAAGATTCTGATGAACCCCTGGGTATTCTAAATATTCCACATCTAATGTACCAAAGCAACAGAAGGTGGTTAAGTGTGTGCTTTATTAAAATTGGTTCATTTTGGTTCATCCACTCTACCCCTTAATTTGTTTTACCAGCATTTGTTTTACCTTGCACAGGCACAGCGCCCTGGGCAAGAGTTTCTGGCCTTGAGGGGTTAGAGTGTATCAGGGAGGACTGTAAATTAGAAATTTTAATAATAATAGTAATTATAAATGATAAATACAGTGGAGGTAAAGTGAGACCCCAGGCTCTGGCTTTTCCTCAGGGAGTAAGGGTCATTTCTCTGGGGCAGTGACACATACATGAAGGAATGAGGGACAAGAGTTAAGAAGTTAGCATGATACAAAACGCTAATATCGCATGGCTCCTTTTATATGAAAGAGCCAAAGCCTAAATAATTTAAAGAACAAAAAGTAAAGGCCTGCGATTGGAAACAGGGAGGTAAACTCTGCCGATGGGAAGGAGATCCGAGGAAGGGGAGAGACCAGGGGAGGCTAGGAAAGGGGAAATAAAAAGGACGGAGGATCAGGAGGTGGTATGTGTGTAATCAGTTCTCTACAATGATGCATTTCATACGTACTGCCAACATATACTAATAAAAGCTCTATACTAATGCATAAATACATAAAAACGTACAAAAAGACAAGTCACAGAGGTAAAGTTTCTTTCGTACATACTCTAGCTGCGTGTTTGTGTCCTGCTACTTATCATAGACTGCAT